ATATATACTAACTTTATGGTTGTACGGCAGTGAAGCATCAGTGCTAACACTGATGTTGCTGTCATTGATGATGATGATAACTCGGCCTGTCGACTCCCCCTGCTTGCTTGCAGTACCCCAGGACTCGTGCCTCAGTTAGGCCCCAAAAGGTTGTCATGGATGACAATTTTTGCCTGCTGTCAAAATAGGCACACTGGGACGGCATTCCGAAGAGGAATCTAGATGTAGTTTCAATAGACTTTTCAACTAATTGACAGCGGTTCTAGAGACTGATCCATGCAAATGATTGAAGCGCTGATACCAACACGCAAAAACTAGGGTGCCTGTTGAAGTCCTCGAGTGCTTCAACATCAACGTGCGTTCAATGATCACGTTTAATACACATGAATGCTATGGGAGCCATCGTCGGGCGGTCGCTGGGAATGACGACAATTTTTATATGAAATACAGATGGACGGAAAGACCTTATCAGCGAACTTCAGCTAATTTTTGTACGAGTGCCGCCGTAGCCTTGAACCCCAGAACGAAATTTGAAAAACTTATCTAACCAATGACGTTGAGTATATACTTTTTTAATACTGACGCCCAGAACGTTTGGCAATGAGGCGGAAAGTGACTTACCACAACTTCCTGAGTTTTCCCATGAACAAAGAATTCATTCATTAGCGACGAAAATATCCGCTCAAACTCCTCGTCAGATAAGGGAGGACTCAAGGTCTCAAAAGTTACCGGATCCTAATAAGGTAAAGAAAGAACAACTGGAAACTTGCCTCAACATCGGAGTCGTAGTCCGGATCACCATGATCAAGTTCTAGCTCATCCAGAACGTCGGTAGGGTCTTCGTGATTTTTCCCACCTCCTTGGGGAGTGAAATGGATAAACATTTGGCAACATACGCTTGCTAGGTATACGTCGCCCGTCACGGGACTTTCGACTATTTTTTCCGTAAAGAACCCGAGTGCTGCTAACATTCGATCGATGCAGTGCAGCAGTCAGCGCCCGGATGTCGGAGGGAACGCCATCGATTGTAACGCCGCTAACTCCTGAGTGACTGAAGGAAGCCGAATGCACCCGCTTTTTACGGAGAAAAAGTGGATGCTTCAAAGCGGCCAGAGACCGTTGTTTATCAAAGTCAGGTCCCGGCCACGTCATTTCACCGGCAGAATCCTCCTCAACAGGACTATTCTCACCTTCCACATCTTTCGCTCCAGTTACCTCGGACATTGTAGACGAACAAAAATAACTATCCACGTTAGGCCGAGCAGTACACTCTAGGAGCGAGCGACAGCGGAAAGACAAGCCGGAGGGGGAACCAACGACGCGACGATCCACGCCAGGAACAACGACCTTCACGGTCCGGTCATATGACCTGGCTTGAAACACTAAACAATTGAACTAAACAAGTCCCACTGAACCTCCTAGTATCTCACAACGCTTTCTTTGGAAGCCAGCTGTTGGTGAACAACCCTAGAGCAGACCTTTTAACGTTATTTGATTTTCAAAAATGAGCGCGCGATACAAATGTTTGCCAAACTTCACCTTTTTACCTGTTTGACATTTCTCAAACATTATCTCTTGCTTCGTTAGTCTCGGGGGAACTTTCGCCCCATTTCAGCGGTCCCTGGTGGCTTAATGAACGAATAAATGAACAGTACTTTCCTTGGACCTCAGTTTTTACTACGAATTTGCCTACGCATCAAAAGCTCTCGTGCTCTCTAAAAGTGGAGAATGTTCCGCTGGGAGTAACTCTGTTGACGCATGGAGAATACGATGACCCTGAAACTCACGTCTGTATTGTGTAAAGAATTCACGTTGACAAATTAATGCGAATTTTTTTCAGCACGGGCGGTTGGGCGTTCTGGCAGAGTGAGGGCACTTGAATAATGAGAGAGCTGTTGAGTCCTGTACTGCGTGTACACGTGTGTTTCAGCCGTATCGTGTTTTGGGTATATTCTTCTTACGTAACGTGACAACTATTGGAATTCACACACAAACATTCCTATCCGACAGACGCACAAGTACAACTTGACCTGATGTAGACCAAGGTTGTATGCATGGCACGAGATAGGGGTAGCATCAACGTTGAGAAACTTGTGGGAAATACTAAGTCAACTTTTACTGACTTAACTGAGCGAAGGGGTTGAAAAGTTGACCAGACAAAATGGAAGCGCCACGCAAGCGCTTGAACCCTGTCATCAGCGCTGCTCGCCCTCAGATGTCACATTTTTACTTTGTCCCGCTGTCCAGGTGATTGAAAGGTATCCCGTCTTGACGTTGGATTAAAATCCCGAGTGCGTTTTTCCTGATTCCGGGCCTCCGGGGCGCACACTCCTGAGGCTGCTGGGGAAAACCTGGCTACTTTCCATATAGTTTATCCCTTCCACCCTCCATATACTCCATTGCCAGGCAAACATATGAGAGAGAAAACTGCTTCTGCTAGCCATAATAAAGTGTGGCCAGGTCTCGGCCCATGTCCTCACAGAAGTTTTAAACACGAATCCATGCTCCCGTGGCCCAACACAGGATGCCGCGACCCAGGCAGCCTGAATTCAACGTCATGTCCAAACAGATGCGCTAGAAAGCCATCAACATTCTACGACAATAATGGCTTTCTCAGAACTGTAAGTAATCCAGCCAGACTCCTCGGAGAACGCTCCCCTGGATTTGCCATCTCGCACAACCCACTGCTAGTTGTGTTCCTATCTGGAACTTATCCGTAGATATAGGGAAAGGTTATCATCAGCCTAGGTTACAAGTCTTTCTGCATTCTTCTCCTACAAAGTATGTGGAGCTTTCATTGGCTTTTGAAATGAAAATAGGGTCTGCCAGTCTAGGTGTTTTGCTCAGTATTTGCATAAATGAGTTGAATTTTCGAAAGCTGCGACATGCCCCTGATGGACTAAAAGACATAGACAATTGAGTTCAGAGTATGGGGTCAATCTTTTGTGCCTCAGTTGGGCATCCCGGAGTCTCAGCGACGCTAGGAAATTACTCCACTAGATTTTTCCCGCCAGAAGTAAGAATGCTCCAGTGGCCAATGTAATTTGGTGAGCTGCAAAAATGCGAATGTAGATATGGATGGTTTTATGTTTGACCACACGCAACCAAATGCAACCTTTCGTCGTAAAAAGCTTTAATTCACCCACAGATGTTTTGGAGCTGGGAACGCTGTGCCGCCAATGCGCCCCTCCAAATGCCGCAACGCAACCATTTGATTTGAGCTGCAAGCGAATGTAGATATGGATGGTTTTATGTTTGACCACACGCAACCAAATGCAACCTTTCGTCGTAAAAAGCTTTAATTCACCCACAGATGTTTTGGAGCTGGGAACGCTGTGCCGCCAATGCGCCCCTCCAAATGCCGCAACGCAACCATTTGATTGCACCATCAACTGGGCCTCACCTGGCATTCTCTCTACTAACTGCTAACGAAATTCATACGTCGCTCTAGTGAGCTCATCCCTTCTGACCTATAATTTGAGTCTCGAGCGTGCCTTGGCCGCCAGACCAGACACCATTCTCAATAAACACTGGGTGCAACATTTTACTTGTCGAATTGTGAAAGTGGGGGATAAATTGTTCGAAGGCCAGGGGACATGAATATCTGTGCTATCACTAATGTCTGTGACACATAAGAAGATGCTTCCTGGTGAAAGTGCAGCCGATATGGGCATAGCCGTCAACAGCACAAAGGGGGCTTTAGGGTCTTAATATGGGTCAGACGGTTTTCTTGCCAAGGTTGTACATGAACCCGATTGAACATGAAATACATTTACTGCAACCGACTGGTGTAACGTTTCCTCGGACCACTCGATAACATTTGGACGGCTTGACCCTTCGGTCTATCCATTAAGCTGTTATACGAGGAACCAAGCCGTCAGAAACTGAGGCGAGCAAACCATTGGTTCGGCCATCCAGGGAATGGAGGATGGAATCGGCCAGTTTTTTCCTTTACAATTTTTCGCCACTTCTATCACTCGTGGCCGTATTTTCATAAAGCGGAGACGCACAAGCGTGTGCCCGATAAGGATGATCTGTGACGGAAAAGGTTCTTCTTGGAATAAGACGGTCAGTTGCTGTACTGGTAAGCAATCCTCAAACTCATCCTGGACACTAACGACATATGTGTATGCCCCAGAGACTTCCCCATGACACAGATATACGTAAGAAATTGATGTCTTTTGGAGGTCCGGGATTTGCGCACTTGAGTCAGTTGCAAAGTAGTTTACAACTTGGGATAAGGGATCGGGTGGGCGCGCAAATATGCAACTCATGCCACACCATTAGCCACGGCAGGTGGGTAGACGCGATGACAGATTGGCTGACGTTGTCGTGCAGCCGTGGGCCTGACATGTCGAGAAGACCTGAGAGTCGCGTGGCCTCATCACACACCGAACTGCTGGAATGGATTGTCTTTTGAAGTGACTGAATGTTTCCACATTACATGTGTCCACATTAACGTAAATGATCCCGCAAAAACCGGGCGGCAATTTCTTCACCTTCACCGGTACTCGAGATCTCGGGTGTCCATTAGGTATTCTGGTTTGATAGGGCTTCTGTGATTGGTAGCTTAATTGTACCCTTGGGAAATTCTGGAACCGGGTCAGCCTTCCATGGGCAAACTAGGCCGTGTGAACGGTATCATCTAGACTTGTTGGTCTTTTTGGTGGGGAAGAGAAAACGTTTGTTGGAACTCCTTGATGGTGCCAATGAGTTGGGGTGAGCACGTGTTTGTACGTCCACTGGGAAACTCCGTTAGTTCCCTGGGTTGAAAGTATTGAGACCTAGGCAGGTACCTTCATGCAAGGGGGTACCAATCCAGCTGACCGAGAGAGTTATCAATAATCACCAAATCATTTAAGCGAGATTCCTTGAAATTATCAATCATTCTAATGACAAAACTGCTCTGAGAAACGGAACAACCTCGGAAGACATCCAGAACACTAAAACTGCCAGCTTGATGGGTTTCCTAAGTAGATATGCACAGAATTTCTTAGCTGCCTAACAGCACATGGGTGGGCACAAGGGCACTCAAGCTCTACACAGGTTGGTAAGATGCACTTGCTTACCAGAAAGGCTAAGGCACCTTCAAAGGTTTAGTTCACTTAGGTTCTGGCCAACTCTGAGCGCTAACGAGAATTCGCGGTTCACCGTAGCTCGTGAATGGAATGTTGCGAATGGTGCACGGATGACTGTTTCTGCGAGGATCCCCTCGAAATGCAGATAATTCTTGTAACTCATATCACGTTCTTTGTAACCGTTATGTTCCCCATTCTGATAGACGACTTCACGGCATCTACAGTAACTAAGCCACCATAAGGGACGTGGTGAGAAAAAGGTACTTGCGTTAATAATCCGGCTTTCTGCGAATATTCTGGTTAAAGCTGTGGTGGGTTTGTTGACGATGCCACCCATGTGAGTAACCGAATGAAGACGCTAGATATATGTAATTGTTAAGCCAGCCCGAAGGCAGAAGGCTTTCACCCTGTTGGTTGAGCAATTTCAGTTCTTGGATCATTCTTGGAGAGGAGGATTTGTGAAAGCTCAATGCATCTCGTTTAGTCCTCACTCATGGGTATTAGGGAGTGTGTATCCAAGAAAGCTTTTTACTCCGTTGCTGGTCTGTTTGCCAAAATTGGTGAATTTGACGGCTGGTGCACTGACGGTGTCACCCCAATTGGTAATGACAGGTTTGAAGCACAACCGACAAGCTCAGTGAACTGGCCAACAACCAAGCAGCACACCCGAGGTACCTATATTGCCCACGTTCTTCAATTTGCTGTGCTTATATAGCTTGTTCAGGTTTCTTGGATGCGATGAGGCGCGAAAAATTTGAGTTGGACGAAGATATCTGGTGAAGCACTGCCCTTTTATTTTAACTCGATCTTTGGCCAACTCTGAAGCACCTGATCGGTACCGACGAGCCCAAAGTTTACTCTTTAGTCGACCCTTCAAGATAAAACCTTTTTATACCGTGTTATTACAGGTGAGAGCAAAGTGCGATTTTCTTCGGTCTTTGACCCTAATTTCCTGCAACATGCAGCATAAGTTAACGATGGGACTGTAAGTCCAAGCTGAACACACCACACCTTAGCGGAAACTGTTAGGATTGTGAAAAACCCCGGAGCAGGAAAACCTAAGAGAACGGTTATCTTAGATGAAATACCGGGATTTGCACCTGACAGAGCTAACAGACTGTCCTAATGAACGCAAAGGCTTCGATT